ATAAAGTATCCATGGAATCGGACCAACAATAAATCCTACTTATTTTTAGCTTATCGGAGTACACGCTTGAAATAAAGGCCACCAAACGAGAAACTAACACAGCTGCGCAAAGTTCCAGTCGCGGAATCGAAATTCTCTTCAGAGGTGAGACCTTTGATTTGGAGCAAATAAAGTGAACTGAAACTTCATCAGTTACTGAAATAAACCGGAAATACGCAACCGCGCAGTAGCCCTTTTCGCTCGCATCTCCAAAACAATGAAGTTCACAACTTTTGAAATTGTTCAGAATGATATGACGAGGTATTTTTATTTTTTCCAATAATGGCATATCCGTCTTGAACTTTTCCCATATTCGGATTATGTCATCGGACGGTTGATCATCCCATCCAATTTTCAGAGACCAGATGTGCTGAATCAAATGTTTAATGAAGAATGTAATAGGAGACAGGAAGCCTAAGGGGTCAAAGACGCGGGATAAGCTTGATAACAGATTCCGTTTTGTACACATCGATTCAACCGGATGAAATGAAAATTTGAAGTAATCGGATGAAGTAGACCATTGGAGTCCCAAGACTTTAACAGCACATTCTTGGTCGGAGCTGAAAGACAGAGCATCAATTAGTAAATGTGACGAGGGTAAATGAGCCAAAAGTGTCGGTTCATTGCTTGACCATTTTCGGAGTTGAAAACCACCTTTACTCAGCAGTGAAATTAACTGATTTTGTAAGGACAGAGCGGTTTCCAGAGATGGGGTGCCAGTAACCACATCATCTACGAAGGTATCAGTTCTGAGGACTTGAGCAGCTAACGGAAAATTATCTGCCTCATCGTCGGCTAGCTGTAACAAGGTCCTGATTGCCAGAAATGATGCACAGGAAGTTCCATACGTCAGAGTATTCAATCGAAAATCCTGGACTTCTTCATTAGGTGAGAAGCGCCAAAGAATACGTTGGTAATCTCTGTGTGATGGTGTGATGAGTATCTGCCGGTACATCATTTTGATATCGGCAGATAAAACGATCGGATGAAATCGAAAGTTGAACAGAATGGTTACGATATCTCTCTGTAATTTTTTCCCAATTAACAAATGTTCGTTCAGTGAGCTTTGACCCGGAAGTTTTGCGGAGGCATTGAAAACAACTCGAAGCTTGGTTGTGGAACTTTCAGGCCGAAGGACACAATGATGCGGAATGTAGAACATTTTTGAGGACATATCAGGAGAACGAACCAGTTCCATATGGTTAAGGTCCAGGTATTCCCGCATAAATTCGCAATATTTTTTATATGTGTCGGGCTGTTTCAAGAGCCGCTTTTCTAAAGAAAAAAATCTATTGAGAGCTAATCCGCGAATATTGGGAAAATTCGGAAGGGAGTCTTTGAAAGGTAAATGGAGAATGAAGCGACCTTCCTCATTTCTCTGATATGTCTTCGTGAATATACTTTCTGAAAGTTTGTCTTCGGTAGATAATGATGTGACTTCAGGAAAATTCTCGATTTCCCAGAACTTTTTCACTTGTTCTTCCAGCGAATTGTCAGCAGTGAACGAACAATATAGTGAGGTAATGGCGGGAGTTGGAGTATTAAACTTTCCCATCAACACATAACCAAAAATGGTGTTGAGTGCATCGGGTTCTCCTTCGGCACCAATAATTCGGCCATCTAATAAAACCTGTGCAAAAATGTCAGCTCCGAGCAGCAGGTCTATGTTACCCGGACTATGAAATTCTGGGTCAGCTAGTTTCAGTTTTGAAATTTGTTTCCATCTTGTAGGCGAAATTGGGGAATATGGAAGGTGTTCACAAATTTTTGGTAAGATAATGGCCTCTACATTCAGTAATGGTTCAGATTGCCGCCAAGGTCGTATTGAAATGGCGACTCCGCCAGAGTTAACCAAGGAATGCATGTTGTCCAAACCATAGAGCTTCACCGACAATTTTTGTGAGGAAAGACCAATACGTTTGACACATTTTTCAGTTATGAAGGACGTCATGCTGCCAGAATCTAGCAAACACCGGAGGGGTTGAAAATTCCCTTTTTTATCGAGCACTTCGACTCGAGCTGTAGATAACAAGACACCATTAGATTGGTTGGATTGAAAATTTGTTGAGACTCCAGCAAAGATAGTTGCGGGATTATCGGGTGCGGAAGATTGTAAGGCGGTGTTTGGTACAGGAGTATGAGAAGCGTTTTCTGAATTAAACAATGTAGAAGAAGAGGAGGCGGAAGACGAGTCGCGATACCTGTTTGAATTGTTCTCGAAATGTAAAGTTGTATGGTGTCGAAATCCACATCGTAAACATGTCGACGTAGATTTGCATCTTTTGAAACTATGTAAGCTACTTAGACAGTTGACACAAAGCCTTTTATTTTTTGCAAAATTATAGCGGTCGGAAGGATTCTTCTTCAGAAAATCAGGACATCGGTGGATCGAGTGATCCGAACCACATAGAGAACACTTTGAATTCACATCATTATTTTCCTTGGCTTGGATCAACAAGGAGGTTGCAGGACGCGGGGAAAAATTTTGTTTCGGAATTTCTGGTTTTTTGACTACCTTTTGCTTGCGGGTTAAATTTAAATTATCTAACGCAACACAGTGTCTCGAAAGAAATTGAAAGACCTTGTCATAGGAAGGTATTTCCGGAGAGTTATGAAACAATTCAAATTGCGTGGCGAGTGAAACATCAACTCGTTTCAATAACATTTGCATTAGAATAAAATCCCATTGGTCAGTTGGGAACTTTAAGTTTGTCAGGGCCAACAAATTTTCTGCAAAAACGTCTAAAAGATTTCGCAAATCTATCGGATTATCTGAGGTTGATTTGGAATTTTCGATAGCTGACCAGTGAGCGACGGCGATAAGTCTTGAATTTTGATACCTATCTGTCAAAGATTTATATGCACCTTTGAGTGATGACAATAAATAATTGAATTTTTCTATATCACTCAAGTTTTGATTATTTGCTACTACCGCATCGAACATATCAATGAAAGAAGTAAAATTTGTAATGTCACCATTGAAACTTGGTAATTGTATTTTTGGTAATGAAATATGAGCAGTAGAATCGTTATTAGAATAATGAGGTGATCGAGGAGGTAATTGCCCAACAGGCTGAAATTGAGAATAAATTGCTTTTATTTGAAAGTATTTCAGTTCAAATTCTTTTCTAATTGAATCTTCTTCCCCGAATGATTCATCGTCATCGTTATTCAACGATCCGATAATCAAATTATGCTGTTCAGAAAATTCGGTTTTTATATCATCAATATCTTCATACCAAACTCGAAATAATGATATCATATTAGAATCTTGTTCGACCTTTTTTGCCACCTCGTACAGTTCTATGATTCTCTGATACCAAAAGAATCAGCAAAATCCGGCTCGAAGGACCATTATGTAATTTGTTTCAGTTTGAAATTAACGACTCCTTGTGGAGAGATTCAAAATGGACAGTTGCTAATTATTCGGATAAATAAAAATAAAGGAAAAGAGAACCAACCATTATGTAATTTGTCTCAGTTTGAAATTAACGACTCCTTGTGGAGAGATTCAAAATGGACAGTTGCTAATTATTCGGATAAATAAAAATAAAGGAAAAGAGAACCAACGAGCCTTCCAAAATCTTACCTTAACTTGGTCGCTGCCCTCACACATGAAGTTGCGTAACTCTGGATCTCACCGGCCGGTGCACTTGGTGTTTTCACTGGATTTTAGGAAAACTATCAGGTTTTCTTTCAATTATTCGATGATCACGCACACGGTTCATTCGTTGAGTCAATTGGTTTTAGTGAAGTGAGTTCGTGGTTTTACCGCGACAGGTGTCGCGCCTGAGGTTTAGATTCTAGAAGGCATTACTTCGCGAAATGAACTAGAGGGTGATCCAAGTGATTGGTTTTTTGGTATAAATATTTAATAGAATTTAATTATTAATTATTGTAAACTATAAACTAATGAATTACATTGAAACGACAACACAAAATAGCGTATGGACGCAACAATCACCAAGTCAAACCCAGTCAGAATGTAGATACTGAAAATTCTACAAAAAATCGAAGAATTTCTCACGTTACAAGTTGCAGTTGAAACATTCTGAAATATCATGATTTGGTACTATGTTTTATTCCTGAACTGCAGCAAAATGTTTTTATACATATCACTCAATGATTGTTTGAATATTTCTCCCAAGCACCTTGCTTCAAGAGATTCTTTGCCATGCAATATGTTTTCGAGACCTATCACACAATCATCTCGGCTATAGATATCCTATTATTGATAATTGAATAATTTCATTGAATGAAATTACTGTTAATTATCTTTAAATACTAATATGCTATTCCAAACACTAGTTTATGCTTTGGTTTCACTAATATTGGAATGATACATTGAAGAGACTTGTTTTGATAATTATCTCAGGAGAATAATTCTCGAAACATCAAAATTCTCGAAAATTTTACATGTGTGAGTGTTTATTTGATATGAATCATTCGTTGTATGTTATAGGTCTTGAAGTTATGATCTGGGGTACTTGCTTTCTTCGAGTTTATTGAAATATAAAGGAGTCGTACGTGATATTATATCAACTCAATAGTATATCGGGTGACACAGACTCATGGTATACCCCCTTTTCTCCTTTGTTTTTCTAGCTACATTTCTGAAATTTGAAACATCGAATTTGCTCACTGGAGGGCATTTTCAGCATTTAAAAAAAACATTTTCATCTGGTTTTCCTGGAAATGACATCGACTTTTGATTTTCAAATGGAACACTCTGTATATCATTGCATTTCCGATATCTTCATTATCTGAATCAACTGATACCTTATAGTTGATAATTCAGTAGTCAGAAAAATGTGAGAAAGTGTACTCTAGTGAGCATATTCGATAATCCAATTCTCAGAAATATAGCTAGAAAAACAAAGGACAAAAGGGACGTGTCAACCGGTATAATAAAAGTTGGGTGTTTTCTTCGTGCATTGCGGTATACGTACTTTCTTGGGTACTTGAATGCGAGTACTCGCATCTTTAGCAGTCTGGTCCAATGTTTCATGTTGATTTTCGAAATCGATTTCTTCATCGTCGTCTTCGTCTGAGTTCTCCTCCTCTACTATGTCCAAATCAATTTCGATGTCGTCCAGTGTTTTTCCTTTGAATTTGTGTGCTTGTCCCTTCTCATTAAGTAGCAGTAATTTTGAAACCTTGGCCATTTGGTAAACATCGTTCGGTAATCTGTAGCAACTTTTGTGGATATCCGAGGTATGCCCCATAAAGCTAGCTAGCTGCTCTGAATCTTGTTCCGATAGGTTGATGACTTGTGACATTGTTGCGAGATGTTTACGTAATTTCGTTGAAGTCATGGCAGCAGGATTTTTTACTGCAGCACGCCTCACATGTGTATAAATAGATTTCGATCCATTAATACTACTAGTCGATTTTGTATTCGCAAACAAATAAATATTTTCATCTGGTACAAAATTCGCACGAACTTTCAACACCAACTCAGTGGTTCTCACCATCTCATCTGTAAATAAAACAGGAACTCCTCGTCCACGCTTTCCTCTGATGACAACCCGTTTGAATGACTTCATCAACATTTTTTCACTTTCGGTAATACACCCATCAAACTCAGTGCTTCTTTCATTATCGATGTTACTAGTATATGAATGAACCGTCATTCTTTGTAGCTCACCTACTCTTCTCCTATTCAATAAAATTAGCTGTACATAACATATTTCTTGAATAGTTTTGAATGCCTTCGAATCATGGGGATTTCGAATAAGGGCAGTTCTTAATGTTTCAGCTTGTTGAAGTAAATACTTCTTTAGTAAGATGAGGTCTTCAGCTAGAGGTATAAGAGTTGGTTTGTTCCACTTTTTCTGTTGTAAATCATTATTCGCTATGGTTGATACTTCGTAACGCCATTCAGTTGCAATCAAAACTTTCAAAGTCGTAAATTTTTTCGTTTCTTCGGTTTCTTTATGGTGCATCTTCAATGACATATTTGTTTTGTTTTGTTTGTTCTAAAATTTGTTCTATCCGTCATTCGGTTGCCCCCTTACGAGCAACCCTCAAAAGTCTTCGAAAGTCTTGTGCGAGCAAGGAATGACGGGGGCCTTACCTTTTAACGTGTGATCCCAAACACTTTCTTGGGCCATCAGAAAAATCTTGGGCCATCAATACAATCTTTCAATTCCGTACCCATATTACTAGCCAATGAAGAAGCACCATAAGTTAAAGTTTTGGCATCATATTTGGCAATAATTTTTGTGCATTCTGCAATGACCTCGAAATTCGCAGGATCCAATGCTTGAATTAAATTTTTAACTGGTTCTTTCTTCTTAATCTCTATGAGTAATGAAGCTAATTGTCTCATCTTCCTGGATGCAACCACCCGAAATTGTTTCTCTCGATGACTTTTCAAATATCTTCTTGCTACAGCGCAGATAAGTGGGTCTGTTTTGGCGGTGAAGGATATTTGATCTGCTCTCATGATAGGAAATACCTCTGTCCTGAGTAAGTGCCTAGATAATTGTTTGCTCTCAAATCTAACATAATTGAAACTGATGATGGAGACATATACCTCAGTAACTAAAAAGTTTTGGTCAATCAAAAAACACAAATGAGTCCTACTCAACACTGAGTGCTTTTCAAACCCGCTAAAAAGCCAAAAGAATATTACTTAAAGTATAAGTTCAATATTGAAAAGAAGCAAAAGTTACTGGAATTGAAAATGAACTTAAACGAGCTTCATCTTATAGTCAAATCAGCAAGAAAGGAAAGGCCGAGGAAAGCAGATAATATAAGTTGAATGACAAATCAGTCGTACAAACAAGCAGTTTAGAAAACATATTTGAAATGAATTTATAGGTTCCACCGTTTGACCTGAAAATCTCAGAAATTAACAAATATATTGATAATTCTGATATCAATAGTGTAGTTGTCCAGATTATTTCGAATCCTAATAATATTTTACGATTTTTTTCAATTTCCATAAGTAGATTCAATAATTGGTCCTGGGCTTGAGCCGGTCCTCTTTCTTATCTTTTCTTTTCTTCCTCTGTGATTTTTATCACCGTTACAATTTCTCTACTTCTCAATTTGATTATGTCAATGAGATATTGTTGTCAATTGTTAAGTAAACAATCCAAATTTGCTTAACTCACTCTTCCTCTTCTTGCTTGTCTGACTATGAGACGGAGCTTTTTCGAGTTGATTTTCAATTTTGATATTTTTCCCCTTTTTTTGATGTAGAGCTTGAGTGTGATGATCCTTTGGCTCTCAAGCTGGCATTAAAATTTATTAGTCTTGAGTAGGACTGATTTATGTTTAACAATTGAACAAAATATTTTGATTACTGTTTAGGTATATGTCTCCATAATTTGAATCTATATTGAACTGTTAGGGCCGGTTGTATAAACCTCTCTGTTGACAAAGAATCAACTGATCAAATGATAAACGGATATGAACAAATTAAATATTTATCAGTCTGTCAAGTGCTTTATGCAACCGGCCCTTAGAAATTCATTAGACATTCTGGAATATGCGAAATACCTGTGTATTCAAATTTCTATCAATTCGAAGTGACTCATCATTGATAGAAATTTCCTGGAAATGTCGTTCGTTATCATTTTGTTCGCTGGTATGGCAATCATGATTATCGCTTTCTTCGAGGTCATGCTCTTTGGTTCTCATTTCAGAAACATCTTGACCATACAGTTGTTTGTTTCGTTTTATCACAATTGGAGATATTTGGGGGATTTCAATTGATGAATTCGAAGAAGAAGATACCTCATCAGAATTCGGAATATACTCATCTTCACTAGGCTCAAAAGGTTTGGAAACAGGGGATGTCGAAACAGTCGAAGATGTGACGATGGCAGATGTATGATTGATATGATCAGACTCATTATGTTCATTTCCATAACCGTTGAAAAGGTTTTTTAGGTACCTTTCTTGTTCTAAGACCATATGATTTTTTTGTTGAAGAAACCTTTGGAGACTGTATTATTTCATCCTCAGAACAATGAGGAGAAAATTCTTGCATCGAGGCCTCCAGTTGTTCCATTAATGCTCCTTGCTCTAAGGGTCCGATTTGCTCAAAAAGTTCGTTCATGAACAGTTTTTGGCGATCTGAAAGATATTTGACTGCTCAAATATGACGCTGAATCGAATCTTTGATGCAATATTCTATTCACTCATTTATTATTTTATTGGGATTCTGAAAATTCACCCGGAATTTTCATGAAATCTGAGGAATATTTTGCGAAGTTTTTCAAAATTGCAGAAATTTCTCATCTGATAGGGAATTATGATTTTGTGATTCAGACTTGATGATAATAATCATACATTTGGAAATAGTGTCCATATAGTGTGTCTCAAATTTTTAACCCATCACGGAAGCATCGATGTCACTACGAAAAACGGTTCAATTATGGATTTTTTGACAAATTTAATGATTCGAAATTTGTCGAAATCCATCGAACAAGATTCATGAAACTCTCAGAACGTGTAAGAATTTCCACAGGGTGAACTACAGATGGAAAAAATGTGATTGGAATTGATTTACATCTGGATAGATACAGATACAGATGGATATGACCGAGGGGTAAACCGCGGTTGAATTCTGGTGTAAAAACAACTGGAATTCCTTTGAATTCCCTGGATTTCCTTGGAATTCCTTGAATATCCTTGGAATCCCTTGGATTTCCTTGGAATTCATGTGATTTTCTTGGAATTCCTTGAATTTTCTTGGAATTCTTTGGGTGAAGTGCTGTATAATTCTGGTGTACAAACAACTGGAAATTCTTGAAATTCCTTGGAATTCCTTCGATTTTCTCAAAATTCCTTGGATTTCCATGGAATTCCTTGGATTCCCTTGGACTTCTTTAGAATTCCTTGGATTTCATTGGATTACCTCAGAATTCCTTGGATTTTCTTGGAATTCCTTAGATTTTATTGAATTTCCTTGGATTTGCTTGGAATTCCTTGGAATTCCTTGGAATCACCTGGATTTCCTTGAAGTTCATTGGATTTCCTTGGAATTGCTTGGATTTTATTGAAATTTCCTGGATTTCCTTGAAATTCCTTGGATTTCCTTGGAATTCCTTGGATTTCCTTGGAATTTCTTGGATTTTCCTGGAATTCCTTGGAGTTTCTTGGAATTCTTTGTGTGAAGTGCAGTATAATTCTGGTGTACGAACAACTGGAAATCCTTGGAATTCCTTGGATTTCCTTGGAATTCCTTAGATTTCCTTGGAATTCCTTGGATTTCCTTGAAATTCCCTGTGTCTCCTTGAAGTTCCTTGCGTGAAGTGCAGTATAATTCTGGTGTACCGGGTGGCCAACTAAGAATGGACGCCGACTGTATCTCAGAAACTACACGTCGTATAACTCTGAAAAAAAAAATTACCGAGTAAATCGGCCAAGAGAAATTGCTGGAAATTAATTTCAAGTTCGAAAAATGGCCGCTAGAGGGCGCATTTGCTATGGCCAATCAGAAAACTGGATTTTTCTCAAAAATATGCACGTGAACAGGTATTTTAAATATTACTATTGAAGTCACTGAAGAATTTGTGATTTTTTTTTCAAATATCATTCTTCTCTATCTCATGAAATAAAGTGGTGGGGGAAGGTTGAACTCGAATTTCTTAAAACAAAGATAACTCCGGTTTGGGTTAACGGAATTCAACAAACTAGGGCTTGTTCGAAAGATCTTTTCTTCCTAAATAATCTACAATATGAACTTTGTCTCAATAAATTTTGCCGTGGTAGCTAGAGGGCGTTGTTTGACATCGTGACAGTTATTGCGAGTTTTCATGAAAATTTCAAATGAAAACCTAGGTATTTTTTTACATAGTTAAAAAGAGAACAACATTTCCAAAAAGTCAGTGCAAACCGCTACTTTCTATCTTACTTCTAACGGGAGATAATTAGGCAACAAATAAAATTGCTATTATATGCTATTATATCCGGAACCTTGGAAAAAAATATTTATTGAATTGAATTTATCGAATTACTCCAATTTAATCAATGGCGTCCAAGATGTTCAAACTGTTGTCCATCATTTTCTATGCACTTCAGCATTCTTTCCTGTGTGGAACCAACTGCACTCTCTACTTCTGCTACTGGAATATTTTGTAGACAGTCCCTTATTCGTGCAATCATATCATCTCTTGTAGTAGGTCTGTGAGCAAAAACTATATCTTTTACTCGACCCCATAAATAAAAATCGAGGCATGTTAAATCCGGTGACCTAGCTGGCCATGGAAATATGCTGCCTCGTCCTATCCATCTACCAGGGTATGTGGTATCCAAGAAGTCCCGCAC